CCTCTGTTAGACCCACGGAGGCTTTGTAGCGACTGCAGGGCATCACACAGTTTCAGCAGAGATGTGTTGCTGTGAAAAGCACCGAGTTTTGCTGCACGGGCATCGGACCGTGCCTGTGTCCCATGCCTTGAAGAGGGGGTGATGAACATGCTCGTGCTGGATCAAACGGCCAGAGAACATGGCAGGACTCTTGCCCTCCTCACTCTTTAGGACCAGTTACAGGACAGTGCAGCCAAGCGATGGTGGAATCTCCCCGTTTCAAACCCGGCTGGCGATCAGGGTGGTTCCCATGGTGGGAAGTACCTGTCACAGATCCAAGAGTTTCTGCGAGCTCTTAAATAGCAGCTTGCCCCCTCTTGCCACAAAGTGCTTGTTTCTTTGGTGAGAAAGCTCATGGGTACCTCTGAAGAAAATCTTCCCGCCTCAAGCACTGTCCACCTTTCTCAGCACTCCTTGTGAGAGTTGAGGTGCCCCCCAGTAGTAATCTGCTGTTGGTAACTACTCAGGGCAGGGCTGGGAGTGTGTGTAGGAGAGGACATCAGGGGTCTACACAGGAGTGGATGGGAGGAGGAGGCATGCAGATGCAGAGAAGCTGAAAGCAGCAGGCTCGGCTAAAGGTTATTTTTAAGAACTGGCTCAAACAGGCTGCGATGTCACCTGGTATCTCCCACCCAGCCAAGCTGCTGGGACCTAGACGCTCACAAGGCAGCGAAGCCTTGCTGGTTGCAGCAGGGTTAGCGCTTGTAGTCGCCTGCCAGAGCTTGAGGTGGATACTGGCACGGTGTCTTAGTGGTCTCAAGGTGGGGGTAAGGGATGGGGCACTTGAGCTGGAAAAGCTGCCTGTGGGGAGAGGGGCGGTCTGGGTGATGCGCCCTTAGCTGCAAGGCATCTCCAACTGACGCAGCTTGTCAGTCCGTCTCTGATGTGCCATTCAGCTGTGTCTGGCAGACGAGTGGTGTCTCAGGCCAGCTGTGGGGGCAGTGGGAAGTGGGAGACGAGCTCATGCTTTCATGCTCAGTGCCGGAGACCGCCAGGTGTAGCAACAGCTTTGCTCTAGCGATGAGTGCAGGTGAACTGCTCTTCCAGCTGCTCCTCAGCCACGTGGCGTTTCAGCAATGCACAGCAAAAAAAAATGTAGCGTCTTTGCCAGGCCTTGATCTCTGTGTGAGACAGTCCAGGCTGCCGAGCAGCCCGCAGCAGAAATCCCTGCTGGCAGAAGTGCCTTCAAACTCGGCAGCAGGCTGTGTAAAGCCAGGGAACGTGTCGTTCCTGGTTGGTCCAGGCCCCTCATGGGCAGAAGTTACGAAAGAAATGTGGCCACGCAGCTGACATCCAACAGGCCTGCCCATCCTCAGAGATGTACAAAATATCCTAAGCCAGTAATTTCATACCGTTTTGGTGCTCTTGGGTAACAAGAGCTGGCTGTTACACAAGACTCATGCACAGCCATGGAGTCCAGAGGCTGGAAAAGATTCGTCTTATCATAGAATAGTTTGGGTTGGAAAGGACTTTTAAAGGTCATCTGGTCCTCCCAACCCCCTCTGCAGCCCGGGCAGAGATGATCAATGATCCCAATACGGCAGAGGGCCAGCTGCTGTTACAGGGTAACCCAAGGGCACCCCAAAGTACTGAAGCATAAATGCACCCTGCCACCTTTCCACATCTCAGGTGTCCCCCTCCCCATTTTCAGGAGCCACAGAAGGGCAAGGCAAAGGTACTCGGCAGCGATCGGGCCGTGATGGAGAGGAGGTGAGCACAGAGCAGTGCTGCCCATTGCTTCCCGGCTCTTGAAACACACGAGCTCTCATTCCAAGGGTAGCAGCGGCAGTAGCCAAAAGCCTGAACTTTGCTTCCAGAAGGAATCAGCTGTTGAGCTGAGCAAATTGTGATGTTGCGCGGGGTGGGTGGAAGGAAGGAGGGAGGAAGGGAGAGCCAAGCCTGACACGGGCCAGCGCAGGGGGGGAAGGCACTCACAAAGGCCTCGGAGGCAGGATGAAAAAGGCTGTAATTACATAAGAGCACTTGGCGAGCATCTGGCTGGAGTCAGCTGGGCCCCGCCAGCCTTCTCTCCCCGTGCTGCTAACCAGGAGCAGCTGAGGATACGGACAGCCCAACGCCGGACCCCTCCGGAGGGGAGTGGAGGTAAGAGATCCTCCGCTTCCCCTCCGGGCTTACGATGCTCTTGGAGAATGGGGGCAGAGGGGTGGGGGAAAGGGGAAAGGGAAAGCAGCCGTGGTGGAGGAGAAGCAGCCCGGAGGGGGAAGAGAATGGGCTGTTCCTCCGCTTCTTGGTGCAGATGATACCTTTGCTCCGTAGGTTTTGGTGAGGGAGGAGCTGTGAGGGGTGAGCGTGTGGGTGTTTGTGGGTGGGTGTGAGTATGTGTGTGTGTGTGTGTGTAACAGGGCAGGCGATCCACATGTGCAGCAGGGGAGCTGAGCTGTACACAGGGGCTGGAAAGGGGAGAAAGCACGAAAGTAATTTCCTTCCTTCTGTACCTATGGTAAAGAGGGTTAATAGGATGGAGGCAGTCACTGGGGAGAGCCAGGATTTATCCCCCTAGTTTGCCCATGCTGGGGGATTGCAAGAGAAGGGAGGAAATGTAGAAGGAGGAGGAAGCAGCTGCTTTTGAGCAGGGATTGTTGCAGTCCAATCTGGCCAGAGCTTCCCTGGGCTGCCTCCAAGGCAAAGTGTGTGATGAGGCAGGGGGAAGATTGTTGAGCACACAAGGTGCCTTCAGGCTTGGGTTACACTTAAAAGTGTGGCTGGACAGGGTTATTGGACAGCATTCTTAAAACTTGTAGCTTTGAGCACTTGGCCATACAAGCCAAAACCTCCTGCAAATGTGGCTGCCCTGGCAAAATGTTCCTGGTACAGCCGGTTCCCTTCAGGGAGCAGGGTGATATTACCCTGGCAAAAGTGTCTTTACTGGCAAAAACTGCTGCACAGCTGGGCAATGCCACCAGTGCAAGTCTTTGCTGTCTCCCTGTGGTTCCCTTTTCAGCTCAGATGAGACATTAAATACAAAGTCCTGCTCACTGCCCACTGAGACCTGTTCTTGCAGTCAGATGAGACAAAGGCAAAGGCCCCAGCTGATGACATCCTCCATGAAGAACGTTTGCTTGGTTGGGAGCAACTTGGGAGTGCAGATGGAAATGTGGGATGGAAATGAGAACAGTGGCCTCCCTGCTACTGGTTTCCCTTGGAAAGGTAGAGGAGGCCAGATATAAGGCTGAGAGCTGCAAAAGAGGGTAATGGCATGTTTGGAAATAAGCCAGGCAGGAAAGCCTGAGGGAGTGAGGCACTGCAATATTTTTGATGGGACAGAGAGGAACTTTGCCTTCAGTGGCAGTCTCTAAGTTTTCATGCACCCTGGAACTGGCTTTCAATAGTACTGTCAGCTGCCGAAATGCCCACCAGCAGCAGGCAGGAGTTGACAACACAACTGATAACAAAAACCCACTTCTGTCAGCTGGTAAGATTCCGTTAGCAATAAGTGTTGCCCTAAACTTTCCCCCTCTCATTTTCCAAAAGGGGAAACGGAGGCACGGGTAGACATCAGAGACGTGCAGTGGGTCTCATTGCATGTCAGTGCTGGAGCCTTGGCTAGAGGAACTCACGAACACAGCAGCAAATTTCTTGGTTCTCTTCCCACCCCGGCTGGGAGGCATGTTCGTCACTCTATGTTCATTGAGCTTCAGGCTGACAGGCAGCCTGAGAATATCTCCAGGCCTCACAGTCCCCCTTCATCCCTTCCCCCCAGCTTGCAGCACATATTTTCCCAGAGTTTTCCGCTTGCTTCTCCAGTGGTGCTGGGGCTCTGCCAAACGCCAGCCACTCTCTGGAAAGCGGGGCCTCCCATTCCCGAACCATGCAAATGGGAGAAGAAAAAGAGGAAAAAAAAAAAAAAAGCCAAGCACACGTAGACATGCACAAAACCCTTTCACTCTCAGAAATCCTGGAACCTTTTCCAGCTTCTTTTGGAAATTGTAGGAATGCTGACTTGGCACTTCTGGTCCCTGCAGAAGAGAGCTATTGCCTGTCCTTCCTTCTGCCTCCCAAAGATACATATGTGCACCCCCCACGGTATAAATTCCCAAATCCAGTTTTCCTGCAGAATAGGATACCCCAAATCCTCTTCCCAACAAATTCTGCAATGTAAGAAAAGTCTCCCGTCCATCCTCCCCCCTGCACTCTTTCCCCCCAAAATGCCCTTCTTTCCCAGGTTCTGATGCAGCCGCGGTGTTCACCCCAACAGCACAAGCATGTCAGCTTGGCGCCAGGCTGGGGGCAAAGATCACGGCCAGGGTTTGCTCCACATCCTCAGCTTTGCTGGCAGGCAGCTCCCCGCTTCAGGCCAGGCACACCCCGCCCGTGCGAACTGCTCAGCCCAGGACCTAACTGGGGGACGTGACCGGGAGATGACACGCGCTGGAGTGCAAGGCTTGGGGCTCTGCCCAGGGAGAGGGGATGACCAGAGAGGGAAAAAAACTGATGCCTCTCCCAGTTGGCAGATGAGCCTGCTAGAAATACCATGCCTGGGGCGAGAGGCCACAGTGACGTTCAGAAGAAACAATGCAGGAGAGAATGAAAGATGAAGTTTGGGGACTGCGAGTGGGACAGGCACAGCTGGGGAGAGAGCGTGGCCAGCCAAGGGAAGGGCTAATTCATGGGACGAGGGATCAAGGCAAAGGAGTGAGGGCAGAGTCCTGCACCATCCCACCTGAAGGAAAGTCTGTCTCTTGTACCGATGCACCTCACCTCGTCCATCCTGAGATGCTCAGGGTGGGACACTGTCCTGTTGCCTGCCCACCCTTTGCACAGGCTGTCATCTGCGCTGCCTGCAGTTTGCTGACCACAGGGCTAGGCTGTTTGGATGCAAAAAGGCAGAAAATAACCCAAACAAAAACCATATGTAAGGAACAGTCACTACCTAGGAAAGAGTTAAAAGGCGCCGAGGGTTTTTTCGATGGAGAGCGCCCAAAGCCAGGGAGGGAAAGGGAGGGAGAGGAGAGGGGAGGGAGCAGGTCCAAGCCCAGCTTGAGCACCCAGCCAGCGCTGAGCAGTGCCTGTGCCAAGAGCCAGCTTTCTTAAAGTCATGGGCCCCGGGGGCCGGCTTTTCAGGCGGAGGGGAGCCCGGGAGCAGGGGCTGGGAAGCTCAGAGGGGAGCCCTCAGCCTCCGGGGTGAGCTGCCATGCTGCACTGGGGTGCAGGCAGAGGGAAAGGGGGGGGCAGAGGCTGGGAAAGGGGCTTTCTCAGCTTGTTTGCGTGTCTGTCTTTCGTAAGCATATTTCTCTCCGAGCTTTGCTTCCTTCGCCCTCTGCAGCGGAGCAGCTCCCCTCTGGCTTGTCTGCAAAGGCCTGGCACTGCCCGCTGCCCTCGGAGGAGCCAGTCATCCCTTTGGGAAGGTGCTGGGGTCTGGCTGAGAACACAGCTGAGCGTCGGTGGGAGGGGGCTGAAGCACAGAGAGGGATGGGATTTGGTGGGGGGAAGGAGGGGACTGAATTTAAGTTCCCAGCCCACAGGAGCACAGGGGACCTCTCTGCAGAGGGATGTGGGTCAGACTCCAGCTGGGACAGGGGGGCTGTTAGGTTAGACTCCCGTAAAGAGTTGATACCTAGTGACTGGAAGACTGGAGAAGGTTTTTACAGCCCTTCCCACAGTTTCAGCAGCCTACCAGAGTGTGCTTTTGCTAAAGGGGCTGTGTGGTTTGCCATGTATCTTTCCTTTATCCCAGTCTGGGGACTGAATCTAGTGGCTCTAGTGGTTTGCCTAGTGAGGGTCAAGCCTTCTTCCAGGGTTAGCACCTAGGTGCCGTTGTTCTGGGCAGAAGGGTATGGGGCATCCTCTTAGGCCATGTGATTGCTACTCAGATTGCAGCCTTGAACCTCCAGGGACTTCAGGCATGTAAACTACTTCCACAGGACAATACCATTTCACCCTGCCCCTGGCTCCAGCCACAGAAGTTTTGTGGTGATCTGTGCTCCATGCCACATGTCCTCTCCTTCTTATACCTCACTCCAGTGCTTCCTTATATCTTCCCAGGTCGCCATGGACATAATTTACCTGTGCACACCCCTGGCCTTCCTTCTTCTCCCTTTTGTTGTGCTTGGGGCACCCACTGATGAACCCAACCTCACAGAACCAGCCCCTGGTCCTTGCAAGCGCTGTTGTGACCCACTGGACTCTCCCACAGATGCCCCATCGCTCCCCCCCAGACACCACCACTTGCCCTACCCAATGCCGGAGGTCCGTCCCTATATCAACATCACTATACTGAAGGGTAAGTGCCCATCTTGGCCCCAGGACGCCAAGGCCTGCTCAGGGACTGGTGGGACTGTGGTGGAGGTGACAGCTGGGTCGCTGGCATGCTGGTTATGCTAACAGACTGCCAGATACCATCCCGAAGCGCGTGCGCTCACGCATACTGTGCCCAGGGTTTAGATGTTTTGCGCTGTGATCAAGAGCAGCCGGTGGGGAGGGAAATGAGGGCATATCCATGCTGTGACCTCTGTGTCTCAGGTTGCTGCCTGCTACCAGCTCTTTCTCCCTGCTGGCACAGGAGTGACTGGCAGCCTCTTGCCAAGCTAGAAGGACACCTTCCTTGCCTCAGACTTCCAGAGTCCTGTAGTGCCTGAGGGAAGGCGCAGTCTCTATCCAGCTGCAAAATAAGCATGTTAGAAGGGTAAGCATCAGCACCCGGGAAAGCTGTGGAGAAACCTTTTCCAGCTCCACGGGTCACATGCATTTTGGAGCTGGTGGAGGGCAAGGGGAGGCAGCGGCTATTTGCAAGCACCTCCAGGCTAACTGGCAGTGGCCCCCAGCTTGTTCCAGCCTGATGTGGCTGGCTTGGCTAATGGGAGAAGGCTCCCTATTTTAGATCATCTCCTCCCTTCGGGGCTCCCCATTTAGCCTTTGATGCGGACAAAAGCCTGTTCCCAGTTGGATTCTGCTCCACTTGCTTATTGTTGCTTTGTGGTTCCTCTGGGCTAGCTGGGCAGATGTTCTGCCTTCCCTGCCCAGCCTGGGAATAGCTGCAATCCATCAAAGCTCTGAATTGTGTCTGGGCAGATAGAGGCCTGGAATAGAGTGGGGTGTTGCAGGGAGACCTGCAATACTATGCACGGGGTGGAGAGGAGGGAAAGAACAAGGCACTAACTTGGGATGCTGTCGCTTGTGCTGAAGGCTGCTCCAACCCCCATCTCTCTTCTCTATACACAAAGTATGTTCTGGTGCTGCTTTCTCTCTGTATTGATGCCTACCCAAGTGTGTGACAGGCAACGCACAAACCCCGGGCTAGAACTGCAGCGTTAACTGTAAAGGATGCCCAAAGGATTTTGGTATTGTCAGGGTAGCAGCCCTCTAACTTCCACTGCACTGTCTGCCAAGTCAGGCTTGGATCTTTTCCTTCTGACCCACCTCACTGCCCCTCTCTAGTCATATTCTCCTACAGGCATTAGCACTTTTCCCTCTTTTCCAGCCTACAGCAAGAACGGGGTGCACACTATGTGGATAATTGGGTTATAGGTGTATCGGAGGGCAGGGGCTGTGGTGGAGGTAAAGGAGTGTGGAGGAAGAAGAAGAGGTCAAGAGCCCCAGTGGTACTTTGCACTGCTGGGCTCCCTCTCAGGCTGAAGTCTCCCAGGGACAGGTCCTGCTGCCTCCAGCAAGGCCATATCATGTGGTGAACGAGGATTTTGTAGGAGAAGAGACCCTAGTCCCACTCAGAGTTCTGCTAGTTCCTTTCCCGTGAAGCACAACGATACTGTGACCCTCAGAAGCATCCCTTCTTCTGGCATTACCCCATCCTTGAGCAATCCTCTGCCTCCTCATTATGCTTTCTCACTGCCGCTTCCACCTCTCCCTCTGGTATCACACAGGGATTGTGTCCTCTGCTTCCTCTTGTAGGAGAGAAGGGAGACCGGGGAGAGCCTGGGATGCCAGGGAAATGGGGCAAAGAAGGACCACGAGGCGAGCGAGGTGCCCAGGGCCAGAAAGGCAGTAAAGGACAGATGGGCACAGCGGGAGACCCCTGCAAGCATCAGTACGCTGCGTTCTCCGTTGGTCGCAAGAAAGCGCTGCACAGCAGCGAGGGCTTCCAGGTCTTGATCTTCGACACCGTCTTCGTCAACCTCTACAGCCACTTTGACATGTTCAACGGCAAATTCTACTGCTATGTAGGTGGACTTTACTATTTCAGCCTCAACGTCCATACCTGGAACTTCAAGGAGACCTACATGCACATCATGCACAATGAGGAAGAGGCAGTCATCTTGTATGCCCAACCCAGTGACCGCAGCATCATGCAGAGCCAGAGCCTTATGCTGGAGCTTCAGGAAAATGATGAGATCTGGGTGAGGCTCTACAAACGGGAGCGGGAGAATGCCATTTATAGTGATGATGTTGACGTGTACATTACCTTCAGTGGGTACCTGGTCAAGCCCAGCCTTGACTAACTGCCTCTCCTCCTCCTTGGGGGCCTCTTTGGCCTTTTCCTTCTTCCTCTCTCTCTCTCTCTTTACTGCCCGCAACCACTGCAAATCACTTGGAAATGGGCCTGTCAAGTCTCAGGCACTGAGTGTGAAACTTGCCGCACTGGCTCCCACCTCACGCTCTCTTGTAGCCAGGCCTGTATCTGTCCACATATAACGTGACACTACCATCTTTTGCCCCCTCACCTCATGACTCCAACTTAGGTTATTGGCTTCTTCTAAATATGCCAGTGAGCTGTATCTGGCATTTAGGGTCCTAGAACAGCAGGAAAGTTTTAATCCCGCTCCTGGGGATGTGTCCCTCTTGGGGCTTCATGTTCAAAAGACTCCTGTAGAAGGGGCTAGAAAGTCCCCACTGCCCAGGCGCATTCTGGCTCCTCTCTGTCCCAGCTAGACATGCCAGTTTTGCAGCCTGCAGCGTGGCCTTAATGTCACCTCTCATGCCTGTAGTCTGGAGAGCGGACTGGTGTCCAATGGCCTCCTGTAACACAAAGAAGATGTAGGAGCAGTGAGAGATGATACTGTCTTTCCAGAAAGGGGACTGTTGGCTTTCTGAGGTATGTAATTAGCTTCCCTTAGACACCCTTCTGGGTGGCAGGGTCCAGGCTGGTTGTAAAATCTAGGCCTGGTGGGATTATCCTCCGCTGTGCTAGCTCTAGCTCTTCAAAGAGATGGAGGGCCAGACAGTCAGCCAGACCCTTCAGGGACATCTGCCATTGAATCTGTAGAGCCCACCACTCTATTCCCACTAGGGATCATAAATACCAAATGAGGGAGACAGACAACCCTATGAAACCTCCCTCTCAAACCTCCTCTTTGGTGCTACTCAGTCTTGGTTCTTCAGCTGTGGAAAGCTCGTCCAGACAGCAAACCAAAATCTGCTCTCTTCTTTGGCAGAGGTGCACCCATGCCCTTCCATTGGTATCAGCAGTCATTCCTAACACTTGCTGATGTTAGGAGAGTCAGGCCCTGGCTGCTGCATGCCATTACGTTGTCCTCCTAAAGGTAGTTCTCCCACATTGATACCGAGGGACCTGAGTTGGAGGCTGTAAGGGAAACGGCACTTAAATCAGTCCCAAACCCGGGCAGCAGGTTGGCACCTCTTTGCTTTAATGATGGAAAAAAGATAGAGGTGAAACTACAGCACCTCACCCCAGGGTTACAAGCTTCCCTGCCACATGTTCTGTGCCCTTTTCTGGCAATCTCATCAGAGCAACTGAGAAAAGCATATGGCTAAACCAAACCCTCGCCCTTCTTGTCAGGTTGGAGATGTCGCAGTGGGAGAGGAATGCCAACAGTAGAGTTTTCTAGTACCATTTGTACTGGTCTCACACTGCTCTCGCTCGCATCGCTCTGGGATTGCTACGGCCCTGGGGGAGCAGATGAGATTGACTCGGCACTTTGGGAAACCTACTTCTGCATGTTGTGATGTTCCCGTAAACAGCAGTGTCAAGAGTTTTCTCTTTTTTGAGTCTCAGGACAAGACAAGCAGGAGGATATGTATTTCTCCTCTGCCCATCATTGATAATGAAGTCTTCTGACTTACCTAGCTTCTGCGGTCTGATGCTTAGCCGTGGTGTCTGCCTGTAGCACGTGGGACTACCAGAGGTCTCCCATAGGAGATACGCATCATTATACAGGACTAGATCTGGTACACTCAGCCCAGGATGGCAAAGGCACAGGGACCCAGGCTAATTATTAAAAATTAACTTGAGAGAAATGCAGGACATTTTCTCTCTTGCCCTGTTTACTTACCCTCCCTGCTTTGCTATGGAAGCGGTACAGACTGGAATGAGTTTCAGGCACTTTCTCCCCACCACTGTCACTGAGGCAATGGGTATAAGAAAAAAGGTTTCGCTGAAGCAAAGCTGTGTTTTTCCCAGGAAAACGTGATAATGGTAGCATGGGAACTAAAGGATACTGTGAGTTTCTTCCCCTCCCTTAGTAGGTCAAGCGTGTGGCATTGCTCAGAGACAGATTTTCAGGCAGCAGAGAGGAAGCAGCATGCTGGAGGTGATGCTCAGGACCGAATCCCTTTCTCCCTTCCTCAACAGGCTGCAAACCCAGGTAATGTCTGTTTGCAGTGTATAGTGCCCCTGTGTCCCCCTGAAGAGAAGCAAGCCTCTCCAACACTGAATATCTTCAGAAACAAGCTTCCTTCTTCCTCCTTTTCTATTTGGTGTTTGAATGCCAGTGATGGGTCTCATGTGCTACCCATGAGCAGCCAGGTGGTACCTGATGCATGTGAGAGAGGAGGGTAGGGGGACCAAAGGGTGTGTTTAACAGGCTTCTTGGTGCTAAACAAGATTGCAATCCCTTGGTGCTAAATCAGATTTCAGGAGTATTGGGTGCTTTCTGGAAGATGTAGTAGGCTGAGTTGTAATGTACTGTGGAATTAATGGTGCTTTATGTTACAAAACCAAACTCCAAGAACTTTTGTATATGTAATTTTTTTTTCAGTGGTATTAAACTTTTTTCCCTGGTTGTTTTGCACTTAGATCTGCTTTTCCCTCCCAACCTATTCCTTCTAGCTCTGGTTATCACTGAATAGTGTGATGGAAAAGACACTGATTTGAAAGAGACAGGTACAAAGCCTAACTCAGCTCTGAAACTTTCCTGGGCAACCCTTAGCAATCTTCTGTTTACTTTGAGGAGAACCGTTACCTTAAAGATATTCACTGCTTGAACACTTCTAATTATGACAACCATCTCCTTTTTGCTGGGAAAGCTTTAAGCAAATTCAAGAAAGGATTCTCTAGAAATTACCAAAAATCAGGGCAATACAATGGGTTGTAAGATTAGGCTTCAAGTTCTCTTAAGGGGAATCAAACCCTTTATCTTGTGAAATTTTTAGCACAGCTTTCTATCAAGTACTTAGTAAACATGTGTGTTTTATATTTTCCCTGTGGCGTTTCTCTTTTCTTTGCCAAGAGGTGAAAGCCAGGAAGTACAGATGTAAGAGAGACATTAAACTGTTGACTAGACACTTGTGCTTGTTAACGAAAGGATGAGTGGCAGCCCAGAGTTAAGCTCAACACACATTTTTAGAAGACCTGTGTGTGATGAGAAAGGCTCGAGGTTCAGGTCAGAGATGAAAAGACAAGTGGCCATTGTCCATGAAGTTGGAAAAACCAGGGAGACATGAGTGGAGACTTGGAGGCTGGAGTGGAAGATCTAGGAGAAGTAGAGTCCTAAACACAGGGAGATGCCTTTTGGAGGTCTCAGTACAAGTCAAAGAGGTAAGGGGGGTTTTGTTTAACCTCTTTGGAGTTTAGACTGAGAGAACTCCTGGTGAAATGGAGGAATGGACAAGAAAACAAGAGGAGATACCCATACAGGACCTTCTGTTTCGAGTTTAATTCATCTTTACATAACTTCTCCTGTGGTTTGACGTGTACCAGACACTTCGTTTGGCAAGGGGTGGAAAACATAATTATACGCATCCTTACAGGCCTCTTTGGTCCTGTGTCAGGCCCAGAGCCAGGGATATATATATATCCTAGTAAATACAATACTCTCTCAGGTCAGAGCCCAGTCTTCTTCGTGTTTTTTATTTACTTCTGAGGAAGCAGATAGAAATGTGTCATCAGGAAATGCATGCATTGCACTTATGCATGTTCCTGGCCCCTTGAGATGAGATGCTGGTAGATTGGAGATGACTTTGTCACACTTACAAAAGGTGAGGAGTGAGGGAGGAGGGAGGAGCGGAAATGTGTGGCTAGACCTTCTAGAAAAGTTTTCTATGATTCAATCCTTCAGCCTGTCCACTTGGAGAGGTAACTGCCACCTGGAGAGTCTCTTCAGCCAAATCCCTTGGGGCCAAGATGCATGGTGGCAGACAGGGTCTGTAACCAGTGCCACCCATCACACCACGGATGCTGAGCTGGGGAGTTGCTGTAGGTGAGGCTCAGCTCAGACAAGGTGGAACCTGCAATGCTGTTGAAGGAACGAGGGCTAGCCTGGGTCAGACCGGCCCCGCTGCCCTGCCCGTGGGTGCAGCCATGCCCTGAAGGCTACGAGACCTCCATTCACTTTGTTCACCCCAGGGAGGGGTCCTTTTCCATGCAGTGGGGTTGCCCTGTGATATGTGAGCCTGGGGTTGGTGGCAGCCAGTACCCCTCTCCTGGGGAAAGCAAGAAGCGTGCCCTGGGATGGGCAGCTACAGCGCTACCCCTGGGGCCGTGCCTCTCTTTTCTGTTGAAAGACAGGTCCCAAGCACTGCTGCAAAGGGCTCTGTGGCCACGTCTCAAGCTTGTTCAAGGTATCTGCCAAGGGATTGGCCCTTTAAACTGGCTTCCTGCGGGTTTGTGGTCTTGCAGGTATGAAAGTAGAAGGGGGAGTGGGAGAGAGGAGGTGAAGGGCAGATTATGGTGCTGTCTCTGGGGAAGAAAGCACATGTCAGGGCCAGCTCAGGAGAAGCTGAAGGCCCTGCAATAGCTGCTTGCCCTGTGATAGCTGTGGGAAAGGGGAAGAGAGATTCAGGGCAAGAAAAGGAATATAAAAGGAGGCCCTTGAGCCTACTGAGGGGACTCAGATGGACACAGGTGGACGTGGCTGCACCCAAAGCACCAGGGAGAGCAGGGGCACAGCATTGCAGGACCTGACTCTTCATCTCCCCTGACCCTTTGTGACAGGTGGGACAGACATGGGTAAGGCCTCTGGCAGCCCCTCAAGTCTCACCCCAGCTGCCAGCCACGGTGCAGGGCTTGCCCCACATCAGGGGTTTGTTCACCATTCAGGGGGATGCTGCACTGTACCACAGCAGGTTTCCCCTCTGCTCCAGCCTCCTGTCCCACCTCTCCTCCCAAACCGCCCAGACAACCTGCTTCACGCACGCCTCAGCCTTGTTTATCTCCCAGACTCCAGGGAGGGAGAGGAGGTGATGCAACACCCCCGGCCAGCATCACCCAGCACTGCAAGCAGAGCCCCGGCTTCCCTCCATCCAACACATCACATCCAGATGTCAGCAATGGGATGAACCTGCCCCAGACCTCCTTTTTCCCACTTTCCCTTTCCCACTGCTGCCTGGGAGCTGCCGCTGGGCCCAAAGGGCTGGATGTGGACCCTGCCCATGGCTGCATGGGTGATGGGGCACAGCTGCATTGCCAAGGGTGATCATGCCATCATCTCACATGGGTGGCATGGCCTTTCTCTGACCACAGTGGGAGAATGGGCATTTTCTGAGCCATGCTGGGCTTCAGATGCCAGCTCGGTGCGCGCTCTGCTATGACACCCACACACATATACACACGCATGTACCAGCCCCATATGGACATCTCTCACCTTCCTGCCAACGGAAACTGTTGCCCTTTGCAAACCTGGCTCTCTCTGAAGATGCTATCAGGAGGTGGGTAGAGGAGGGCTGAGGCTCCAGGCCTCTTCGGTACAAGCACAGCTCCCTCACCTCATGACATGCCACCCCTTTCTCTCACAAGCCCTCTGTGATCTCTCTCCCTGCAGTTATATCACAGTCAGCACCAGGGCAGAAAGTTTAAATCAAAGCCTTCTCGCAATTTCTCAACCCACAGACCACCCTGTCTCTTGAGTTGGTGTCACTTAACTCACAGATGACCGGGGAATTATTGCAAAATCGTACACCTTTCCCAGTCCCTCTTTGCAATGGCTAAAATGGGAGGGAGCAGGATGGAGAGCTCCAAGCTAAGGAGTAGGGGGCCCCCCATCCACCTGAGAAGGCTGGGAATCCAGCCCTGGGTGAGTGGGAGACAGGGGGGTTGGATTGTTTCTTGATTCACTCGAGCCTACTTGCATCCATGCCTTTGAGAAATGAGGCTGAGGTGCCTTGACTTCCAGGGAGTCCAGACAATGCAAACTGCAGTGGACCTCTGAGGTAGCAGATGTGTCTGAGCCTCACTGGTTGCTACTGAGGACTGTTGCAATGCTTCCAAGTAGCTAGGGGAAGAAAATGCCCAGGGAGAAAAAAAGGAGGACAACAAGCCTCCTGTCTAACTGCCCCCCATCCTGCAGGCATCATTTTCACTGTTCTGGTCCCCTGCTCTGAAGTCCTGACTATCCTCCAGGTGTTTGACACGACAATGTCCTAGAGCAAGACTTGGGCAAAGCATCTTCCATGGGGTGCCTGGGGCTCACTGCATTCTCCTGTTTGCCCCACACATGCTTTTCAGGGCTCATGGCATCCTCCCATTTTCCCCTACAGACACTTTTTTTTTTTTTTTTTTTTTCCCCCCCACATGTCCGTAGTTTTTCCCCTGAAGTAGTGGAATGGGGCAGATCACTACAAAAGACTTCCTTGTCCCCTGCAGCCATGGGCAGCAATTCAGCAGATCTTCTGGGCCAAGGGCCCACAGAACTAATGCTCCATACACAGTACAAAACACATCCCAAGCTCTTGCTTCACCCAGACTCCCGCTGGTCTCCATGTGGTGTGACAGTGGCAGTTTGACTCTTCAGAACACTTATGCGGGCTTTTACAGGTGTACCACATTTCAAGCTTGGTCCCGCAAGGCTTTGAAATGTTTTCTTGAAATTTCATTTGTTCATGATATGCCAGAGTCTGAAGCACTCCTCTCACCTTAGGGCAGGCTTGCTTCTCCTCCCTCATCCCCTACCCTGCCAGCTGTGGAAGCAGAACAGCTCTGCCTTCGCTGCAATGGCTAGAGCAGGCAGGGACAGTGGTGTGCTGGCTCAGCCTGAGACTCTCGTCCTACACGCTGGCAACCTGAGCTGTGGGGAAATGGAGAGAGGATCAATGCGTTGCCTTCTCTTTGCTGCAGGGTTGCTTTTTTTCCGCTCCCCCCCTCCTTTCCATTCCTGTGCCAGCCCTCCTCACCGTTGCGAAGCACTGCACAAAGAGCTCTCTGAGTGCAAAGTGCAGGGGAAGCGGTGGGAGGGTCAGGTGAGGACTGAGAAGGGCGAGAGGAAAAGGTCAGTGATGCAAGCCCGAAGCGATGGCTCTCAGCTGAGCCGCTCTGCTGTTTGTCCGTGGTGCGCTATTTCTGCTCGGCAACAATTCACACATCTGGGGACCACAACTCCTTCCACAGCCCACGCTCTTCCTCCCCCCTCACAGGGGCTGAGGCAGGGGAGGGGGGAAGGAGGGAGAGATACTGCACCAGGCTGCCAGCATAATTTCCAAGACCAAAAGGTAAAAAAAGCAAACGAACAAGCAGTGCCTTTCAACAGCTACCTTCCCTCCGGACAATAAGCATCTCCGATGAAGGAACCTGCTACCTGCCAAGGGGGTGGGGAGAATAGGAAGAAAGGGGGAACGCTTTCTCTTGGGGTGCAGGGAAAGTCAGCACTGGGGAAATGTACTGACACCCTCGTCCTTGAAACATAAAAGCAACGCTGAAAGTTTCCCCTTAGAATTAAGGTCTCACCTGTGTAGACCGTGGCTAAGGGAAGGGAACCTGGTGCCTGCAGACACGTGTTGTCCTTGGCCTGTTTCCAGGGTAAGCATTTGAGTGGAGCCAAGTGCTTGATCCCCTCTCTGTGTTTCCCCACTCGGCTGCAGCCGTGTGTGCGTGCGTGCGGGTGTGTGTTTGTGTGCCCGAATGTGTGCACAGGTGCAGGCAGAGGACGTGCCCCCCTCCTACACACCCCCTCCAGACCTTCTCCGCAGCCTGATCCCAACGGTGGAGCATGGCACCCTGCCTAAACAAGCTCTCCTAGGCCTGTGCTGGCTGTGAGGGCTGCAATTGCTCTTCTGAGCCGCAGGGAAAGGGAGAATGAAATTATCAACTGTTTCGATGCTCTGTGCCCTTTCCTGCTTCTTATGCGGGGGGTACTGGAGCAACAGGGAATGGTGATATTCAAAAGGACATTCCCCTTCTGTCTATGCATGCCACTCTTGGGAAC